GCCCTTGTGCTCAGAACTGAAGTGACATCAGCCTGTTACAGAACATAAATTTTTAAGCTCTTTCCTACATAGGTGGGATGCATATTGCAGAAATGGCCTGTGAATGTATTTTCCCACTGCAGCAGTGTACAAGAGAACATGTGAAGGCAAGTTCACATTTTATTTTCATACTATATGGATGCTGACTGAGGCAGAGAAAGAAAAATTAACCACACAAAGAAATGTAGGGCCAGATGGCAATAAAAATGGTGTCATAAAATCCAGTGGGTGAAAGGTGACAAATCAGACCTGAAATTTTCAACCTCTTTTTCATATCAAATGATCATTCTGTTCACCCACAGGACAGAATTTTGCCGAATATCAGCAATGATGTAGACTTTAGACTGGTGATGTAGACTTTACTACAGCAGCGGAGCAGCATGATTAACATAATATGGGGAGGAACGTAGAGTAATACAATCACTAAGATTGGAAATTATCTCTAAGATCATCTAGTCCAATCACCAACTCATCCCCACTATGTCCATTAACCATGTCTCTCTGAGCCACATCTACATGTTTCTTGAATGCCTCCAGGGTTGGTGACTCCACCACCTCCCTTGGCAGGCTGTTCCAATGCCTCTCCACTCTTTTTGAAAAGAAATCCTTCCTAACATGCAACTCGAACCTCCCCTGGCACAACTTGAGGCCATTGCCTCTTGTCCTATTACTGTCACCTAGGAAAAGAGGCTGATGGACTCTCCTTTAGCTGTGGAGGATGAAATAAGTAGGACAAGACACTGAATGCTATAAATGTGGGTGTTGCCTAAAATTGGTACCGATCTGTTGTTGTAGTTCTTTTCTGTTTGATCCCAATGGTTTAAAGGAGTTGAAACATTTAGCACTGGTTGCTGTACTGACATCTCTATCTGTCAGAGAAGGTGGGCTTCTGGATATGTGGAACTTTGCCTTCTGCTGGGGCCAATCCCCAGATTCACACCTTCCTTGAGAGTCCGCTCTGAGTTTATTCCTCACTGTCTTCTATGGAGCTCCTTGCTTTAGTTTGACACTGTTGTAGTGGCAATAAAAGCTAACAGCCTCTTGAACCACTGTCTCCTTATCAGCAGAATAGCATCACGATTCGTAACGTCAAATGCTGCACTTGTGTTCTCAGGAAGGAACAAAGAGCACAGGAAAGCCAAGTGGATGAACCAGCATATAACTCCTTGAAAGCCCAAACAAGCACTGAGATGGTGTGGATATATTTACTTGTTGGCCGGTCTTTGTATTCTCAGATCTTGCTGCTGGAACTGGGTACTGGGAGTAAACAGCTTTCCCTTAGAGAAAAGATTCAGGATAACACATTTGTCATCTACATCTTATTGACTTGTAAGAGAAATATGTTCTCTGTGTATGTCGCAGAAAATAAGGAAGGAAATTTCAACTTGCTTGCATGCCACTGCATTCAGTTATTTCAGTTTAAGGAACAGGGAGAAATAAGTAACCCCCAGAGGTGTTTATGAAGTACCTGTCACACAGCATGTCAGTAGCAGCAGTGGCATGGGAGTGCACAAATCCTGACCAGTCCTCTTCTCCAACCATGCTATCAGCTGGTGCCTGAGTATTTCCCTACAGATCCCATTACTGCTGTGCCTGGGAGGCTTACCTCAGGCTTTTAGCCAAACAGCAGGTGAGAATCTCAGTTGCTCAGCTCCTTCTGTTGTCAACTGAAAGAGATATAGGGGCAAATCATATCTCACATGGTCTGAATCGCCCTTTGTGAGTGCTGATCCCCTCCATTAACTATAATTGATGAATGGGTGAAACTAATCAACACGTATAAGGTAAATGTCTACAATTCCACAATGTCACACTAATCACATAATCGAATCCTGTCATTTGCCCAAACTGGTGTGTTTGAATGTATTGGGAAGATGGGAGAACACGTTCAGGGCCATTTGTCAGATGTTTTCATGGTAAGTTGCAAGATGCTACCTGCTGCATGTTTATGCATGCAAAGCTCAGCTATCTATGCCTTTCAGCACTGAAGGCATCTCTTAAATAACCATTTGTGTGTGTGAGCAAACATGGTTGTCACTTTTGTTTATTGCCTAATTCATTCATTGAGTGTGTATCGCTATCTAATGCTAAAGAAGTGAGAGATCAAGGGGAAAAGATTTCAAACCAAAAGAGGACAGATTTGCACTGGACATAAGGAAAATATTCTCTATGATAAGAGTGGTGAGGCACTGGAAATGGGTGCTGAGAAGTGGTTGGTGCTCTATCCCTGGAGGAACTCAAGGTCAGGCTGGATAGAGCTCTGAGCAACCTGATATAGCTGTGGTACCTCTGTTCATTGCAGGGAGTTGAGCTAGATGATCTTTAAAAGTCCCTTCCAACTCAAACTGTTTATGATTCTAAATGAGAAAAATCAGTCTGACTTGACTGTAGGGTAGCTAATGGGCTGATGGCATCCATGCTATCCTCACTCTGGACTGAGTATGTGTTCTCAGTTTTGGAGCTGGAAATATGAAAGCATGGTTGATCAAATGTTTGTTGCATTAGCAACATACCCAGAGAATTTCTTCAAGCAGAAAATAGCAAAAATGAGTCCTTGGTCCTGTGCAAATCAATGACAAAATTTGTATGTATTAAAATTTCACGTTATTGAAAAGAAGTCATAGGAGACTTGCTGATTCTTTCACTACTTAAAAATCACTCATCTGATTTCAAAGGCTGCAGACAGTTCGAGTGTGAATTAACATCATAATGGGAGAACTGATAACAAGGCAACTGGGGATGAGCAAATCATGCTGTAAACTACCAATAATACATATGGAACAAAGCCTTTGGAAAAGAACTCTCCATGATTTCTAACAATTTAAACTGGAAATCAACTGAAAGCAAGTTTCTTCAGAGTTTGAAAGACTTCCTCACTGACTTTTAAAACAGTTCATTTGATTCTAAAAAGCTATCCATTTTAAAAGTTGCAAAATGACAGGCTTTGAATTTTTTCTTTTTCAGCTTGGCAGCTTCAGTTTCTAATTCTTAAGAAGTATAAACTATTTCAGTCATCATGATAGTGAAATTTTCTGTCTGTATCTAAATTATTTCTTTTCCTGGAGTTTTGGTCAAAGAAAAAAGTAGTTATCTTGGCTTTACATCTAAATGCTGAGTGCGAAAATGTTTGAGTGCTTAAAAATATATGCATGACAGAAAAATTTTTGGGAATCAAGCAATGGAGCTAAGAATATTTAATAATGGACTGGAAAATGTATGTACTTAAATCCAGAAAAATCAGATTATGTTTTCAAATTATTGATGTTCAAGTTATTGAATTGAATGAATGCACTGGGTGAGTACGTTGGGGTAGGTTGTTAAGGTCCTAAGTGACCTCAAGATAGTCAGATATCTTTGGGGATGAATGTAAGCAAAATATTTTCTATGTTCTAAGTGTGATATGGAGAGGGAGGAGACATGGTGATTATTTCTAATTTTCCATGGCTCTAATGATGAAAAGGCTTTTATGCTGTTTTCTGTGAGACACAAAATTAATAGATAAATCAAATACAATTACAGCACTTCATGTGATATATGTACGTTGACTATACCTCCATATATGAGATGGTATGTGACTGTTCTTACTGACGTAGCAGTCTTTAGGAGGAGACAAAACAACATAACATACACAAACATCATGTGGCTCTGCTCATGTGTGTTGCTTCATCTGAATTGCATGCAACACTCAAATGAGAGTTTTAAAACATATCAAATTCCAGCTGCTCCCTCTGAGAACATTATTATTCCTTATGATTGAACCTGTATTACCAGAGCATGTCTAAGCTCATGCCTTTTCCTGAATCACCTCCTGTGGAATAAGGTAAGATGCAGGAAATGACCAGTCCCTTCTGCCCTTCCTTGATTTCTGTGGCAAAGAAATCAAGGCATGTGGGATTCATGAAGCCTGGAATACGCTAAACAAATCAACTAGTAAGATGCTGGGAGGCCATAGCACCTTATAGTGAATGAAACACTGAGTTCCAATCTGACAGTTTCACATAATTTCTAATATTACTGTTGTACTTTTACTGATGGTCTCTTGAGATTGACCATGTTGTATGATGTGTATTTGCCCTTCTATACCTCTTGGAGCTAGTTCTCACAGAAAGCACTGTGTGATGTTCCCTTATTAGCAGTTCGTCAGGCGTATATCAGTTTAATAATACATAGAATAATACATAGAAATGCAAGCTCAAAGAAAATGCTTCAGCAGAAAATTAGGCACATAACAATTAGAGGGCATCATGCTTGTGACCTACTTAGCCTTGTATGGTGTAACATTAAAAGCAAACATAAACCCACTCATTTGTGATGGCCAAAGCACAGACCGGTCTTATGCTGCACAACCAGTCCTTGTGAGATTTACTTATATCATTACCAGATCACCCACCCTATGACTCTTTTGTGCGCATTTAATCTAACTTTTGTACTTGGTCATAAAGTTTGAAGACCTTTAGCACAGATTATAACTCTGTCCCACAAATTTAGATATTTTTTACCTATCTGATTTTAGAGCAGGAATCACTGTTTCAAGGGCATTGGACACTGTTTAGGGTCCAAATACTAGAAGGCCAACTCTTGGCATAGTCGCAGTGGCAACTGCCTAGTGTAGCAAGTGGTGAAATGATCACTGACCCTGAGACATACCCAGCAAAAGCCAAACTGGCTACGACTGAAATGGATACTGGTGTCCAGAAGTGTATGGGATAGATGGTAACATTTCCAACACAACTGTTGCCACCTACATCTCATCCTATTGCTGAAAACAACACCAACCTGATTTATATTTTTAGGGTTCTCATCATGCTTTCTTCCTGTGACAAGAGTAGCCTTCCTTAAATATGACCCTTGTTTGAACCCTAATTAGTAGCTATAGGGAATTTAGCTTGCTGTTACTGTGACCAATGAATATTTCATTAATTACAGTGATGTTGTGTGTGCACTGAAAGCAAAGTTATTACCTGTAAAGTTTACTTTCAGGAGATAATCTTTGTACAGCTTCTTGCCATCCAGATGTTTCATAGCATCACACAGTTTGGTGGTGTTTGGACACAGAGTCCGCTGCATTTTATGCAAAGCATGGGCCATCGCATACACAGCATTCACAACAAACATGATCTTGGATTCTTGCTCATAATTGGAACTGTTGATGGTGAAGTGCTTGTCACAAGTTTTTTTGTGGGGCTTTCGATTCTGGAGATTACACTGGAATTTTTGCTCCCAAAAGTCCTTGAACCAGGGGTTTCGTCTGTTATTGTATGGACTGAGGCTTTGGAAATACCTGTCAAACTCTTTAACTGGATGGGAAGCAAGCTCCAAGGTTATTGCCCCAGAGGCTATATGCTCATTACCTTTGACAATACTCTCTTGTGCTCCCCATCCATCACTGGCAATCCAGGTGAAGGAAACATTAAAGCGATTGGCAGCTGCAATGAGCTCCCGAGAGTCATCGCCTCGCATGAACAGCACCACCACTCTGGCATTGGGTTTCTGCAGCAACTCTCTGATCACACCATCATAGGACTTTCTGATGTTGGACCGTCCCACTTTCTCAGAGGTGGCAATGCAGATGTTGCGGAGGCGAGCTTCCTGCTCAAAGGCTTCAATCCCTGTCTCCCCATAGTCTCCTTCTGAAGCAACCGTTGACACGTAAGTCCAGTTGAAGAACCGTAAGATTTCAGCCATGGCTTTTGCTTGGTAGAAGTCAGGGGGCACTGTCCTTGCAAAATAGTCGTAGCGGGATTTGTCACTCAGCTTGGCACTGGTGGAGGCATAACTTATCTGGGGGATCTGGAAGAGTCTGAGCAAATTTGCCACCTGCAATAAAGGGGAATAAAATATTTTTAAAGGATGATATCTATAAAAATATATAGGGGAAGTAATAAGTAGTGATTTTTAATAAGACGTGTTCGGACAATCAAAGGTTAAGAATGTTGATAGAGGATACTGGTAATATTCTCTTGTGACTGCACTATACTGCGCATGTGCTAAATATCTGTTCTGCTGTCCAGCTGTCTCCCCAAAATCCTTTTTGGGCTGCATCTGCAACAGATTCTTTATTTCTGTCAAGTTGAGTTTGTTTAAACCAATAGAGAATTAAACAAAAATGGCTGATAAAATTCTGTCTCAGCTTATGCTCCTTACTAAGGTGTGGAGTTTTGCATGTCATCTGTTCAGAGGTGTGATTCTTCTCCAAAAATCAGGGCAGTTGATAAACAGATACACTTAGAAAAGATGCAAATTTCTAATTTATGTAAATATCATGGATACATATGTACAGACTTCTTTCACAGCACTTTCTGACCTCATTTATTCACATATTGAGTCACTGCCTCTCCTACTTTTTACTTTTTAAACAGTCTTCTGAGCTGTTCTGACTGTAGTCCTTATGCGATGGCAAATTTGTGGGCTAGTTCTCCTCTTGTGATGCACTATGTAATATTGAAAGTAACACTTCCAATTTTATGATGCTCGCCTACCATGACAGAAGCAGATGTCTGTGATATGGAAGTAGAGGTTGAATCTTCCCACCAAAATTCCATCGCATTTTGTTGTGTGTGACAAATGACAGCAGAGGAGCGGTCTGACAAAATGGTATCTGACATGGAAGTGTGGAAGAAGCAAAGATGTGTCACTGAGTTCCTCCATGTGGAAAAAATTGCACCCACTGACATTCACTGACACTTGCTGAATGTTTACAGAGTCCAAACAGTAGATATGAGCACAGTGAGGTGGTGGATTGTTTGTTTCAGCACTGGTGACAGTGACACAAAAGACAACTCATGTTCTGGATGCCCATGCATGGCTGTCATACCACAAAATGAAGAGCATCTTGATCAGCTCATCTATGCAAATCAGTGGAATATGACCGGAGAACTGTGTACAGAGTTGAATATTAGCTTCATTGCACTGGGAATGGTGGTGGCAACATTATTGCATTATTATATTTGCATTATTCAATATATTGAATATTGCAAAGTTTGTGCCAGATGATTCCCATCAATACTCACACAGGAACAGGAAGAACACTGTACACAACTTTGTCGGGACATATTGAAACAGTATGAAGCTGAAAGGGACAGTTCCTTGGATCACATCATTATTGATGACAAGGTATAGTGTCACCCTATGAGCTGAGGCAGACTAAAGATGGCAGTCCAAAGAATGACAGCATGACAGTTCCTCAACAAAGAATAAGTTAAAGATGCAGCCCTCAGTGGCTGAAGTGATTTGCACTGCTTTTGGAATAGGAAAGGAGTGATCATTCTGGATTTGCTGGAACCTGAATGAACCATTCACTCTGACCACTACATCGCAATACTGACTAAGATGAAGTCTCAAAATCCCAGAGTCAGACCAGAGAAGAAGACAGTCTTTCTATTGCAACACAATAACTCCAGATCCCATACCAGTTTGAAGACCATGGGACACATTGCCAATCCTATCTCGACTGTCCTACCACACCCACTGTATAGTCTGGATTTAATGTTTTCTAGCTTCTATCTGTTTGGTCCCATGATAGATGGGCTGAATGGGGAACATCTTTCTAGCAACAGTGGGTCACCTTCACTGGTGCAGATTTTTGTGAGTGTGGCATGCAGTCTTTCGTTCATCACAGGAGAAAATGCATAGCTAATGGTGGCAACTAAGTTAAAAAATAATATTTTATAGCTGAGAATTTGCTCTACTGAATAGTGTTATTGTGCTCTTTGTAGATGTTGTTGTTTCCATGGAAATAAATAGGAGGCATTACTTTTGGAGCGACCTCCATAGAACAAGGCAAATTTTAAAGAATAAGTTGTCAGTAGCAAAGCAGACAGCTCAGTAAAAATAGCCTACATAATTTTTTTTGCTTTCTGGTGTCCCTTATCTCTTGAGATTTCATAGATGTAAACTTTATTTTAAGATAACATTGCAGAAGTCAACTTCCTGCTGTAGTTCGGACTCCCACTGCAAACTGGTGTTTTCCAGATCAGAATCTGCTGCCTAACCATATGTGCACAGTGACTTTCACAACCCCCTGAGCTGTCTGAAACATGGGACCTAGGGAGACCTTGTCCTTGCCCCTCCTGGGGCAGTAGCAAGAAGCAGGCTCAAGTCTGTAGGTGTCTGTGGCCAGGTTGCTGATCCATGCCATAGTAAAATAGATATCTGAGAGAGCTTTTCTTTTGCTTAAACTAATATAAAGCCTTGTCTACTCTGCTTGGATAGTTTATTCTCAAGGGAAGCATGGGATATTGCCCTGTGGTGTTGCCTGAGGGTGTAGGCACGTGTGGGAATTGCTGTGGCTAAATAAGTTATTGTCCTTCAGGTAACATCTGACACAGTCTTAACAACCTTGCTGGATGCTAACATGCAATTAACTGCCTTATGCTGCAACAAAGGGATTTAATTTTTGTTGTGGACATTTAAAATAACAGATATAAAGCAATTGGGTTGGGCCAAGACACTTGTTTTTTTTCACCAGTGTGCAATGGATGGTCTGAGTATTGTCTAGCCTCTGTGAGTTGTAACTTTTGATTATGTGCCCATATATTCAGATGCTCATGTGTCCTCACTCAAAAAGAGCACTTTGATTTGGTGATAAGAATGTCCTCTGTGCAGCTATTCAATAGCATTTATTGCAGAACTGTGTGGTCTGGCATTGCTATTCTTGTTTCAGCTTATCCTAGCAGGAATTATTTTGTTTTAACTAGACCATAATAAGAATATATACACATATTGTTATGCATGTTTCCCCCAAATTGGCCAATTTTGTACATAAAGTAATGTTATTCAGTGTGTAGTCAAGCCTTCACAGAAAGATAGTCCTAAGAAATACAGCATGTTATTTATTTATTCATTTCTATTAGTTTAAGCATCAAAGCTATTTATATACAGGGAAACAGAACTACTGCCTCATTTCATAAGCTCTCTTGCACCCCAGAAGTCACTTTTCTAGCAATTCTGCTTCCTGTGTTACAGGGACAGGAAAACTTCTCTAATGAAATGCTCTTTGCTGTAAAGCTCTTCAGTGATGTCCAGATGGTAGATTTTTCATGGAAGAAAACAAACAAACAAAGAATAAAAGAAAAGTAGAAGATGGTGACCCAGTGATTCCCAAGAGCTGTGACTGATGATGGAGGTCAAGGATGCCATAACTGTTATTAATTCAGATCAAGAAACTACTCTGGGAATTTTGAAGTTACAATATTCTGACACTTTGATTTTAAGGACTAATTTTTCAAAGGAGCTCTGGTTTCAGGCTAGTTCCAGAATAGTCCTGATTTTTAAAGCTCTTTCTGTGCTGACCTGAACATCTGATTCTGCAAATCAGGTCTTGACAGAATGAACAGCAAGATCAAAGTGCAGGCAACAGATTCAGAAGGAAGCTGATATTCTAAGGCTATGTTATGTTCTACAGTGTTCCAGTGTTGTGCTCTGCTGTGTTTAACTGTAGTACAGGACAGTGTAATATGAACCTGGGTTATGCATACTGTAGTACCAAGTTTGCACCACCTGAGGCTGCCTTGGGATGTGCACTATAGCTCGGAACTGCAGTGTAGATATAACGTTAGCTAAGTGAAATAATCTGTTTTGGCAAAGCTCCAGGCAGCAATTTAAACAAGACATAGGGCATGCAATTAGAGACTGAAATTGATATGTTGGCACTTAAATTGCGGCAGTAGCCTGTATTTTTGGTTTTGTTTGTTGAAACTGATGGGTTTTGCAAAGCTGGATAGTCTTGTTGCAATCCTAAAGCAACAGCTTTGCACAGTTTGCTGTGAACAAAGCATGCCAGCTTCCAGAGTGACAGGAAAACTTTATCTGCCATCATGCTGCTGAATTTATTAGCATGGAGGCTTTCCTGTGCTAAAGTGTCCAATGCATGTGAAAAACTGGTTGCTCACTCCATTGTCATAAGAAGCTGCCCAACATGAGCAGGGCAGAAAGTCCCATGTGTGCCATATCTCTTGCCAGCAGCAGACAGCTATAGAGCTACAACTGTAAGGACCCAGTTCTGCCCTTGTTTCATCTCTGTATTGCTACTGCTCCATTCTGAGACCCTGTACATCAGGGATCATACAAATACTTGTGAGCGGTCTTGTTTATAACACTGAAAATGTCTTCGTAATTACTACATGCAAGGAGCAGTGGATTAGGCGCAGCTCTCAATCACAAGAATTTGGCTTCCCATTGTGTTTCTGGCCATTCACTAGTCCTGGTGATAGGATCAGGTAGGTAAGACCTGCGTGTATCAGAAACCCTGGTCTGTCTTTTAATTTGTTGAAGGAGATTTACGAAGTCCCATCAAGCATTTTGTCTATCACATGTAGGATCTTTTTTTTTTTTCCTGGTAATAGGATTTATTTCATTTTTTTAATTTGAAATTTTCCTTCTTCTTAGACTGTTTTAACGTGTATATGACTGGGGAACACAGGAAACACTTCGGAAAAAGAAAAATCTCTGAAGTACTAGGGCAGAAAATGTTTCTTCACAAGAATGTATCACACACTGGTTGGACAGAGGAGGTCACTTGTTAGATCGCAGTGCTCTGCACTTCTGAAACATTTTCCATGTGAGAATCTCATGATACTTAGCAAGGTTTAACAAATCTAATTTCACAAAGCTCCTTTGAGACAGACAAGTACTGCTGTTGTTGTTTCGAACAGATTGCAAATTAGGCTGCTGAGCAGAATGGGAGTGAGGTACAGGTAGATAGTGACTACTGAGACACTGAAGGAATCGCCATTTCACTTGGCGTCAGTTTGTCAGACTCGGGGGCTCTACCATAACTTTGGCTGTTGTCTTGTCTTTCTGTAGGCTCAAGGTCATGT